ATTAGTCTCACTAACGGGATTCGAACCCACGAATTCGATGGGGAGTTGGTGTCCGAGTGATCGAAGTCGCGATAGCTCAAGTGGTCAATTAGAGCAGCGGCGTATTGAGCCGAAGGTCATGGGTTCGAATCGCGCTCGTGACACTAGCTTTTTTATCTCAACCAAGACCTTGCTTACAAAGATTGATTAATTGAAATAATTACTATGGTCAATTAGACCATCAAACATAAATTGGTAATTAGGAGAGTTTGAAAGCTGAATTGCTTTACTTACAGTCTATGTCAACAAAGCTTTGATTTTATGTTATTATATTAGATTAGATTAGATTGTATGGAGCCGACCTCTTTACGACATGTGCACCGCAACCAATTATTGGTCTATTGAGCATCTCCAGTTTTTTTATCTAGATTTCCTCATTAAGCTTGAGCCTTTTTACCAGTCCCCAACGCTTTTTGAAGGGCTCCTGTGTGTATCGTTCAGGCCCTGCCTTTTTATACCCAGGATCAGGACTTCGCACCAATAGAGGACGTGTTCCGTTGTTTCTTTTTCTTCTTGGCAATATTTTAGTTTCAATAGTTTCTTCCACTTCGAGTCTATACATATGCCTCCGGAATCTGCAGGGTCCAGTTAGTAGTCTAACTATTGTTCAAGTCCTAGCACGTCCTACATTTAGTAGTTCTGCCGTTAAGATGGCCCTTTGATAAACTTTTTCGCATGCCTCTGTCCCGGTCTGCATTCCATTGAGCGGAGGACTTATGATTGATCCAGAGTCTAATGAATCCGCGTTTTTGGTAAGCCGCAAAAAGGTTCAGGGCCAATAGGTAACCTCATTGAGCTTTCTTTGGCCAATTTATCGGCCTCTTCGTTGCCTCTCTGCCGTATGTGCCCTAGCACCCTGACATGGGTAATTTTGTAATTTTCCCCAATGTTTGACTTTCGTCTGAGGGCTCTAATGTAGACCCAAACGACTCTGGGCTTTACCGTCGATGCGGCAATTGCTTTCACTACCGCCTGGCTGTTCGAGAAGATGGCTTCTTCTATTGACAATCCCAGTCTTGTTATCCTGGTTCATTAACCACAGTTTCGGCTTGAAAACGGGTGGCAGATTGTCCAAAGCTTATAAAAATTCTAGTCCTTGGTTTATTTCCATAAACGCCAGCTCCTGATTCATATTCGGTTTTGGAGCAATCTGTAAAGCAGATACGGTTGCCATTAACTGGGGTCAAAGATGAATTTATAGGTCATGGCATCACTAGGCATCCCCAAAGTTCTGTCTAGTTGAAGATCCCTTCCAAGTTTTAGTTGCTCCTTGTTATGTGAGTAGGCTATTGGAGCCTGTCCCAGCATAAGCCTATGAATTGTGGCTTCATGACCTCTCCATGGATAAAGATGTGTAGTGGTAATAGAATCAGAAGCACTCCCAGCGTTGCTGTGGATATATGAGATGATGAAGGATCAGTAAGGATGTAGTTATCGACCAGCAGTTGTTAATTCTTATATGTGGATTCGGGTCGTGGTCTGGAGACATCTAGGATGTCAATCAAACAACCTCCCACAAACGTTTTATTTTATATATCCGGTTCTAATTTATTTACGAAGATTTGTACTATGAAGCGTAATTTATTCAAAACCTTTGTAAAGTTTCATATGGATCACGACAACCGTTTCAATGTTATCACCATTTATGTGATTTTCGAAAAAAATTGGCGGCAAGGATTTAAGAGAAGAAAATAATTTTCGATTTTCTTAAAAATTTGTATTCATGGTGGTTTTGTTGTGAAGAAAACGTTTATGTACTTTGTTTCATGCTAGAAAAATATTTTAACAAACTTTTCTCCGTCCCGCGGTCTCAATTTATGTACATATTTTAATATTTATGACACTCATGGCCTAGCTTAACCGCATTTTATCAGAAGCCTGTTTTTTACATTTGAGAATTGGCCTGGGGGACTTGACCCTGTTGGAAGAAAATGTTATAAAGTTTACTGCTTTCACCTTCAAAGCTTTACACCGAGGAAAATTAGCTCTGTGTTTTGAATGTGTCTTTGCCTCGAAACGCCACTTTGAGATTCTTCTCGGCCGGACAATAAACACCCGGTCGTCTATTGTTCCCGACGATACCGTCCCGAGTCTGTAATTGAAAGAGGAACGTCCGGAATCGGCTAATGGTGTCGCAATTCGGAGTCGCACCTTTTTCAACTGGCCCTCGGCGTTTTACTGTTTCTTAAAAATCCCAATGAACTTTTCGAACAACCCGTATTAAGCGGCGGAATTGAAAAGCCTGGGGATGACAGTTTTAGCATTGGATTTCTCCCCGTATATAGAATACAGAGAGAATAGTCGGTTGAGTTTTTATTTTCCAATTGGCTCCAAATGCTTCGCATGTGCTCTGAAGTTAATTACTCGCAGGCAGCACTTTCAAGTAATGTTTTAAATTAAAATATCGGCATTATTCTTCATTTCATCGGTTCAACAGACATCATACTCATTCCACATTTGGCTGCCCTGAGACAACTTTAAACCAACTCGACCCACTTTCTGTCCTATGACTGGCTACATAAATTTAAAAAAATTGCAATAATGATTTGGTGGAGGCATCATTTTGAATAAATAAAAGCAGTATATTCATTACAGGCCGGTACTTCAGAGTCATTGAAGGTCGGCGTCTTCACCAAACAATCTGTGCTTCAGGGTAGGATTCTGACCCCACATCCAGTCGCTTCCTTAATCTTTCTAGATGTTACAGCAACTCTGATCCTGTTGTTTCCACCTGAAATCTTTAACAGCACCTCTCACTTTTTGAGTCTTGGTGTGAAAAGAAGTGAATAAAATTGAACCACGAACAATTCACCTTTATAATCTTCATTCTCCAAATAAAAATCCCTCCTCCTCTTTTACTGCAATAATATCCTCTCCCGACTGCATGCGTATCGACAAACGACTGAGGTGGAATCCCCACCCGACAAAAACATCAAGAAGTTACGACATGACACAGAGCACTTTCATGACTTACAATTTAACGGCCGATTTTATAACACCATGCAGTAAGCGTCTGGAAGTGTGGGATTTAGCCACACAATCCAATATACGTCGCAGTCAAACTGCCCAATCCATTAATTATTAATCATTAGAAAAATCCTTGATGGTCCATATCATCTTCCCAACACAACTATCCTCACAGATTTAACCCGCTCCCATTACAGCAAATTTCACAAAGCCTTCCCAACAGCCATAAATCCCCAAATCAAAACACAACTCGGAGCAGGGAGAAGTGACGGCCGCGAGATGTCTTATCCAGTGACAGTAATAGCAACAGCAGTCTTCATTAAAAAGAGAAGAGTGTTTCGAACACGTATAAAATACACTAGTACAGTACCCATCATATGCCGATGATAACGCCCTGTTTGCAAACTTAAAGCCTTTAGTGGCCTTCAGAAACCTCCAGCACCGTCTCGTTTGGAAGAAAGGATAAAAAAAATTGGAGGATCAGATTAACCCCATCTCTCCTAATCTACACTCCTCTGTTTCATCCATTCAACCACTATGCCGAAGCGAGTGTTCCGCAAGGCAGCATCCTTGGCCCCATACCCTATTCAATATACCGTATAGACATTCCTATTCGTTTCGATACAGTAATGCTCATATGCAGACGATAACGCCATCCTGTTAGCTAACCTAAATTCTTTATTATTGTTCAGAAACCCCCAGGACCATATCGTCTGTTTGGAAGAAAGGTTCAATTAATGATGTTGTAAGACTGACATCGCATATCACCGCTCTCCTAATCTACTACTACGCTACAACCATCCACTATGACGAAGCGAGTGTTCCGCAAGGCAGCGTACTTGGTCCCACTCAGTATGCACTGCTCTTACTCCTCGTATAGGTAGACAATATCCTTGTCTTGTTTGTAATAAAGGTTCAATAAATGCTGAATCAGACTCACATCATGTTTCACCTCGGTTATTATCTACTTCAATTATGTCCCATCTATCCATCTACTATGTCAGAGCAAGTGTTCTGCAAGGCAACATCCTTGATCCCATTCTCTATTCAGTTTGCAGTGCAGACTTTCCCTCGCTCACATAGGTCGACGATTCCGCCGTCTTTGCAGTAAACTAAGATCTAGCAATGGCTTTGAGAAACCTCCACAATTATCAGTCCTGTTTGGAAGAAAAGTTAAATAAATGGAACCACTGCAACCTTACAGAATTAACTGCAGAGTTGAACAAGCGTTTAAACCTCCAAAGTTTCAGTCCGAAACTCTTCGAACCAACCGACCATCTGGTTGCCAATGCTCCCTATTTCGTATCCACAGAGAAGCATTAAGTGCCTTCAGAAACCTCCAGGTCTACATCTCCACTTTGGAAAATGGTTCGCGAAATTCATCATAACTTTTTTCCTCTTTCAGCAACCAATGTCCGCTATTATACTGAGGCCGCATTCACACGTTACTACTACAACCTTACTGGATTAACTATGAAGTTGAACCAAGTGTTCCAACCTCCAAGTATCTCTTCATTCCGAAATTCTTCGAACCCAGCTTCCTATTTCGTATCCAACCTTACAATCCAGACAGAGCTTCAGTTTCCATTTGTCCTTGAAATTGCAAGAAGTCGTAGCATGCACTTATATAAAATCATGGGCCCTTATTCTAACCCCCTAGTCCAACACCTTTGATCTCGAAACCTTCCCGTCAATCCTCCAGGACGCGTAATGGGCCAATTTTGCCATTTCTTCCCTATTGAGGAAAGTGAATAGCGTTGTGAAAAGACTTTAATTAATGGGTTATTTCACTTTTGTAAAGTAAATTCAATAAAGACAACAGAGTTGCTTGTAGCGCGCTCCGAAAATAAAGTTTTAAAGTTGAAACACGCAACAACAAGAGAAGCCGAAAACTTTACGATCCCTGTTATCATTTTACACACCTGCTTGGTCTTTGGCGTTTGAAAATAATTCGAACAAGTTAATTAACTCTGGTTCCCTTTTGTTTGTTACAGATGTCAAGTGATTGTGTTGAGAAGGGAAGTTGCAGGCTCCGAGGTAGCAGATCTTCCCTCAACGGCGGTGCCCTGAAAAACGGGCAAGTCGCCAGGCCTCCCAAACCCTGCTGTTTTTGTTGGTGCTGTTGCTGCACCTGCTCATGGTATGTATTTATTGTTACACTTTTTTGACAAAGATGTGTGTGTTTTACTTGCAATAAAAAATTACATAAAACGGGAGCCAACCCGAGCCCGGGTATGAGGTCAAATCTTGAGACGCCATATTACTTTTCAACTGTACCCCAATTTAACATTTTACACATGAAAAATGTTACATTTCTTATAATTAATGTTCATCCTTTTAAACAATAGATTATTTAAATATCTCAAGGAACTCATATCGTTAATTTTTCTTATCACCTTAATGTAAGACACATTGACAACAAAATTTGATGGCATAGTGCATGTATAGTGAAGTACGTTGGATTCTAGAGGTTGTTACTAAAGGTCTTTCCAGTTTGGGATTCAGTAGTCACTGATTCGTGATAGGAAGCATCCAATGGCAACGATGGGAATTGAACCCACGATCTCGTACGTGACAAATCGATAAACTGGTAAAAATACCTTTACCAAGCTTTGAATCATTTCTTAATTTATTTAAATGTATCGATATTAAACGTAATAACCATAATTAAAAACTTAAATTCAACGCAATAAACCATAAATAACAAATAGCAAAAAACTGGTTTGGCTTCTAGTTGAACATATCTTCAAAAATTTGGAACTTCCTCGTCTTAGATCGTACTTTGTTGGACAATGGAAGCCAATCGAGAAACCAAATATTAATCAATATTTGTTTCTAAGCATTTAATCGTTTTTTATGCTTTATTCGAATGTATCGAAGTTAAAAGTGTTAAATCAACCCAAAAATACCCAGTTTTGGCTTCCAGTAGAACATTTCTTAAAAGATTTGAAGATTGCTTGTCTCAGTTCTTACTGGACTGTGTGGTCTCCCTGGTTTGTCCGTTTCGTTTGGCTCAGGGTGTCACTTTGTCAGGCAATTAATTTTTATACGCTTCATATTTGCAATGAATCATTTGCAACCAACGAAGGCTGATAAAGCGTATTTGAGGAAGAAGCAAGCAGCAGTGGACGGCTAAGCTAACCCAGCGAGAACAGACGGGCCAGGATGATCGGATTAAGCTACAGGTTCATCACCACAATGTTTCACCGCTAAAAAAAAATTAATGAAAAAACTTGCAGTTTTACGGATAGGTGCAATTCCTCGGCTCCATATAGCGAGCGTGTAGGAGTGCTACTCGATATGAGAATCATGCTTGACCTTACCAGCGAATATCTGGGGTCCCCTGTTCCGATTTTTGGGAAAACAGTACTGTTTTATTTTATATAGTAATGTATATATAGTAATTTTTTATACTTAGCGTGTGTAGAGAGTGAATATATTTATTAACGTGAATGGGTGCTGTGAGAGGGTCGATGGCGGAATATCGAGTACCCCATCGACCCTCAATTAGGTTAGTTGTACAATACATAAATGTAAAGGGTTTTGGAGGAATATCGAGTACTCCATCACACTAATTGAATGAATCGTATGTAAAAGGAGTAAATATATTTAAGATTGAACATGAGTACGAATGGAACTGCATGCATTGCATTCTGGATTGCCTTAGTTGTTGACAGCATTCCCCCGGAGCTCAACCCCTGTGGCTGGACAGATAAGGACGAGGTCTACCCCGGATTGCCAGGACTCGGGGTGGGTGATTTTCCGAGGCCTGCCGAGTTTTACGAATAAATTAAACAAATTAATACAATAAAATCGTCCCAACGCAAACTGTTAAAAGAAATTAACTTCAGAGGACAATGGTTATTTCACATAAAACTTGATGCCCGGCAGTTAGTTCTATTTTCCTCACCTTCAGTAGTTTTTCTGCGTGGTATTTTGTTAATAGTGTCTTTTATGACGACGTAAAATGCGAAAGAGGTGTGTAAAGAGTTTGTTGTCTTCGTCACTCGTCGTCTTTGATTTATCGAGGAATTTTTTTTTTATGTGAATGTTTATCGGGTTTATCTGTTCATTTTCTTTTGATCTCGTGTAAGTATATTCCACGTAGTAAATTGTGCAAGTTATTTATTATTGATTTTACGGGTTCTCTCGTGTTTGATGTGTTCCTTGGTTAACCTTTAAGTTGAAAGATTTGAAAATATCCACCTTTAATCTTGTTGGTCTTGTTTTTGCCTTGGAAGTTTGAAATATTGAAACATTATAATCGGAGTAGAAGAAAATTAGAGATGTTACTAAAATCAAAACGTATAACTTAAGAATATACAGCATGGGAGATGACAGTTGAAACCCATCACCCGGCGACACTTCGTCATTATAATTCGCGCGGATTTCGATAATCTAAAATATATCGGCTTTATTATGATTTCATTTTAGCCTTTTTGATAACTAATCAATGGTATTTTCCTTACGGGCGTAATACTAACTGGTCTTGGGGTTTTAAGTTTAGTTGAAAGTAAGATAACACTTTTTAAAAAGTTTTCGAGATATTTAAAACAACTGACATGCCTAATACTCGAAAAAAGTACTAGACTTAGAAAAACTGTTCAACATAAAAGAAAGATAAAACAAAATGAGACACACCTGGAGCTTTCCTATGGTAGATGGCTCAAAGATTGGCAATTGTAAGGGTTGAATGGCCTTCGGCTCCACAACAACCATCTTTCAAACGGAATTGAATTGCCATAGAAACAGGTGAACGTGAAATAAATAATAAACCTCTGAAGGGCACAGCCATAAGAGACTGTCAGATAATCAGGCTATAAGCTCTTAAAATTACGAGATAAACTGCAAACTGCTCTGAAACTACCTAAACACCCTTAAAATCCACAAATAGCCTGACTCAAAGGTTCCAGGTCATTCGAATTTCAAACAACGAGGCAACAAGATGAGGCAATGGCTCAAAGATGGGAAATGGTATGGGTATGGACGTACAAAGGGCATAACAATGTGCACAATAAGGCCCTAAGCTTCTTTTTGTATAGCTAATTAATTGTGGAAATAATTAGTAATTAATTGTAAATATTACTGTATTAACGTATTAACGATTAGAATGAGATCATTCCAGAGAATCCATTCTCGCTAATAAGTTACTTTTACTATCCAAAATTCACACACTCACCCAGAATTCAGCTGTTAGTTTCTGCGATGGTCCTTTCATGAACTTTTCACGTGCCTCTTTCCTGGAATACATTTCTGTGAACCGAAGACACAAAACAGCCAAGATTATCGCTTCTATTCACCCTAATACCAGAGATAATGGACCGTCTAAGGTTTTTTACTAGATCCCAAAGCTTTTTTTAAGGGGTACCTTTTGTATCCTTCAGACCTAGACTTTCCTTGTCGAGGAGTAAAAATCTCATCTGGCATAGACCTTAAAAACCACAGAGGACATATTCCACTGTTTCTTCTTCATTATGCTGTTCCGAGTCTATGCATATACCTGCATAGTTAGCAGACCTAATGTCATTCTAGTCCTACCACATTCAAGTTTAGCAGTTCTGCGATGCTCCTTTAATACTTTTCTCATTCCTGTTTCCCAGAATGAATTTTTGTTGAACCGAGGACTTATGCGATCAGTGTTCCAGAGAGCACACGTGGGAAGCTATCAAGGCAGGCCTAAGCAATACAAGAACCCACTCGTCAGTAGGGAGCTCCTGGCCAATAGGTTGGTTTCTGTCCAATTAACCCATGTTCAGTGGGTCTCCCCAAGAAGAAATCTTTCCATCTTTTGGTTTATCTAACCTCGCTGTTTTGGCCTGTCCGCCCATCGAACGTTAATTTCTTCGGTTGGTCAACGTTCGACACAAGATAAAATAACATATGTTTTCTTCCTAAAAGGAAAAAGTAACACTGTTAAATTCCCAGGCATTTCATGTAGATTCGGTAACTAATTGGTTTTTCATTGTGTAACTATGGATTATCAAGAGTACCTGACATCTGGTCCCGTCAGTCTCTTTTCCTTTATGGCTGAATGGCTCCGGGTAGGTGATGGCCGTCTGTGAATACAGGGTTCCACTCCAGTTCGCTAGCGCCAGAGAAATAAAACGGCTAGGAATACATTCCCGGAAGATAGCCATTTTCTCTGACAGCCAGACAGCTCTCAGGGCCTTAGCCTCATGCGAGGCGAAGGCAAAAAGTGTTTGGAAATGCATGGAGGCCCTGACGGAAGTCAGTGACATTAGTGACCTGACCCAGGTAACGAAAAGGTTGACATGTTGGCCAAAAAATGGGCCAACATGGTCTCTAAGGGCCCAAAACCCTACTGCAGCCTAGCAGCCTGCCACAAAAGAGGATACATCTTAAAATGGATCCTTAATGAGTCCAAAACCTGGTGGAACAATACCACAGGTATGTGGCACGCGAAGAGATTCATAGAAGGACCATCCGCAAAACTTACAAAAGAATTACTGGAAGGCAACAGAAACCAGGATTGTGGTTGGACTCCTGACGGGTCACTGCCACTTAAGAAAGCACATGCCGGATAGGAGTACAGACAGAAGAAACACTGTGCAGATACTGCCAGGAAGAAGAGGAGACCGCAGAACACATTTTGTTTCTACGAACGTCTATGTATGTGCAGGTTCCTGTAACTAGGACAAGAAAAACCACAAGCAAATCCTACACCAAGGAACCGCTGGCAAAGCTGTGGAGGCTGGTTAATAGCCTGAAGGTGGCCAGTGAGCTATAATTAACAGAGGAGCACAATAGATCTACTTAGGTCGAGGTGCATTAGGCGTTGTGGCCGCCTCCCTTATCCCTATTCCTATCCAGCTCGCTATCATTTTGCTCAAGGACTTTTACAGTCCCAAGGAAATCTCCATTCGCAATAATTACGCAATGCATAACCCCTTTTATTTAATCTGCTCTTTTGTGAATGTTAGCCCTGCCCGACGGGCTTTTTTTCCATAGCAGGCTCACAGGATCTATAATTTCCTTCTGCCTGATAAGGAGATGAATACAACAAAACTTCTTTTTCGTTCATTTACCTCGTAACGTTTTCTTACTTTTTCGATTGGCGTTGTACTCACCAGTTATAAATGCACTAAAACTGCTTCCTGGAAAAATGATGTGTGTTACATTTCTCATTTTGCTTTTCACTGGGTTCATTGAGAACAATGAGAGTTTGAAACAACGAAAAAGAATATTAAGGACAAATATCATACTTTCTCTTCGCGCAACCACACATTTCTCACCATTTATTAACTCTTTCTTCTTAGCCACACACGGTTAATTATTATGGATATAGTCGTGAAAGAAATTTTCAATTCCCTTTAATTAAGGTCGACGTGTCGGGTTACGCCAGATTTTGTCGGTGATGTATGTCGCACCTGCCATGCTGTTCATCTTCGTTTACTTTAATCACGTCGGTTCTAATTATGCTAAGAAAAGCCAATAATAATTTAAATGCCATTCTAGCGGGGATTTACTACGGCAAAGCTCTTGTCATTGTGATCCTGCTCTTTCCACTAAAGAAATTGAAATCTTGCGTTCTCAATAAAGAGAATTTCTTTACTAATTTATCTTAATAGTAAATAATGAGAACAGATCCAAACCTCCATTAAATAAAAGAAGATGTGGTTGAGGTCATTAAATCCGTTGTTACCTTTTGAAGTAATGATTTCCACCTTGCACTTAAACTTTCGACCATTGCGTCCGAGCTCTGCTCAAGATTTTCCTGAACTATTTTCGTGTCTTTAATGAATGACACAATGCTTCTCGAAGTTTGACCAGACATTGCTCTAGAATGGTTTTCCTTTCTTTCTTAGTATCATAGTCTTTTCCTAGCTATTTTCATGATAGTTGGGATAGTTCTATTGGCTCTGTCCCCTAGACACAGTCTACATTGGTATATTGCCCAATTTTTTCTAAATGGTATTTCACTGGATCATGTCCTGTTTGTATGCCGGTTCGAACCCTTAGTCCCTTTAGCTTTCCTGTAGCGAAGGACTTTTTCTTTCTATCAATGGGTTGTTTGTAAGAGTAGTCTTTGTGATGTCAGTATTTGTTACGCTCTCTATTTTGTAATGATGTCTGTTGCCTCGTTACCCGATATTCGCTTATGACCTGGAACCTTAACGTCCGACTTTTTTTAGATCCCTGTTTAGGGGTGCTCGACTATGTGATAGTACCTCGTACAGTGGTTGAGGTAGGGCCTAAAACTATGTGGAGCCATAGTTAGACTTTTTTATTCCTACTTCCCATCTTTGAGCTATTGCATCATATTGTTGCCTCGTCGCCTGGAATTACCTCATGGCTTGGAACCTAGCGTCAGGCTATTCGTAGATCCAAGTTTTTTCTGGGGATTTAAGCATTTTCAAACTGGTGTTGATCTATCTCGTAAACTTGAAGGGCCGTAAGAATTGCTTGACTGCCTGATTCTAGAGCCATGTGGTGCCCCAAGTTAGGCCCTTTTTATGCCTGTGCTCGTACCTTGAATAGATCCAAATTTTTTCAGGGTATTTAGGCATTTTCTAACTATTGTTGAGTCGATCTATCTCTTAAGACTTCAAGAGCCATAAGAACTGCTTGACTACCTGATTAATTTTGCACCCTTGAGATGTTTGAAAGGTGGTTGTGGTAGGGACTAGGGCCATATGGTGCTCATAGGCCGTTTTTATGCCCATATCTGTTCTATTTCCCATCTTTAAGTCATTGCCTCACTTATTGCCTGGTTACTTGAAATTCCCTCATGGCCTGGAACCTTAGTGTCAATCTTTTTGTAGATCCCGTTTGTCGAGGTCTTAGTCATTTTCAAATTAGATTTGTGTTAATCTCGTAGGTTTGAAGAGGCTTTAGTACTGCCTGGCAATCCGATTAATTTTGCACCGTTCAGATGGTTGAATGTGGTTGTAGTAGGGTCTACCCTTTCCAACACCCCCAGCTATCAGCCGTGCAAGAGCTTCAGGGTTTATTTATTTCTTGTTTCATCCTCCCGTGGTGCCCTCTTTTCAATAATTATATTGAATATTTTTTTCCTTCAAAGTTTAGTATTTTCTCTGATACGTAACAAATAGGTTTAGCCATGCCGTTTTAATTTTGTCTTGCATTTGTTTGTTGCTTTTTTTCCACTGTACGATAAATTCACAAGTGCTCAATGCGGCCATCCTTTGTAAGTAAGGGTAGCCTGAGTACACGTTCCATTACGGCTGTGGGTGATGTTTTAATAGCACCACGCTAAGGCATGTTGTTCTTTTGATTTTTCGTTGTAGTTCCTCTGCATTTATTTGTTGCAATTTTGACCACATCATATAATTTGCGTATGTAATTATGAGTCTCACAATCGGAATGTTTTACCACAGGATTATGGTATATCCATTGTGCTTTGAAAGTTGTGTCGCTGGTGAAAGTATGCGGTAGAGGTTAACCTTTGGTTAAGGTGTAAAGCATCTTTGGAATACTTTATTTCTTGATTGCAGGGTTAGAGCTTAAGATTCAGCTTCTTTTTGCAAATGGATAGCACTACTGCAGCCTGGGGGCGTTTATATTTAAATAATTTTCCTAATTTTCCATCTTTGAGCTATTCATTCCATCGTGCTCTCTTTTGTATGGTTATGTTGACAAGGTTTCTTAAAGTCTAATATGTTTTCTTTGAATGAGAGATAGTTTAAGATAGTTATTTTAATTTTGCTTAACATATTTTTATGGCCAACATTTCTTTGGTGCTTTCTTTCTTCGATGGCTGTTGTCCTTGTAAAATTGATAAGGGTAGTAGCTTGAACTTTTGGTTTTCTCGCAAATCTTGACAAAATCATGACCGCATGGAAATAAAATTGAAAATGAATTCACTAATTTCGTGGTCCGCTTGACCAATTAATATATTACAATTAATTAAGGTTTTTAGTTGAGATAAAAAGTCAATGGCACGAGCGGGATTCGAACCCACGATCTTCGGCTTGATACGCCGCTGCTCTACCACTTGAGCTATCAATACCTCGATCCACCCGGACACTAACTTCTCATCTCAACCCCACCTTTTGAATTTTCCCTCCTTTTTGCCATTTTTCAAATGTCGTGTAATCGGATTGGATTCTCGGCGACAAATGAAATGGCCACGGAGAGGTTTAGTGAAGTATACTTCATTTTAATTCATTAAATTCACTAATTTCGTTGTCCGCTTGACCAATTAATATATTACAATTAATTAAGGTTTTTAGTTGAGATAAATATATTGAAAATAAATCCTTTATCGCAAAATTAACTACTACACTTGTCCAACAGGTCCTAGAGAAGTTCTATCCCCCATTAATAACTATTTACCAAGTTGGAAAGTCAGTTAAGAATTTAGGAATTTGTGGCAATTAGAGGCGGAACAGATTGCCTCGTACAGATAAAATCTCGTTGTTATTTTCGAAATTAATCAACCTCTTTCTAAAAGTGTCACACGGACGAAAGCTCGGCGATTCGAACAGAATGATTTATAGCCCTTGGAAAAAGCACGCACTGTTTGAGCTTTTTGCCATCGAGAAAGCCGAAACATGGGTACACCGGAACGGAACGGCTTACGTCCGGCAAAAGCTGCAAAGCTCGCGGTGAGAAAAATACGGTAGAAACGATAACGACAACTTTATTGACAGAAAATAAAAAAGTTAATAAAACAGAGATAAAATCTATATAAGTTTTTAACGTGTCATATATTGTACCTGTCTGTAATAAAAAAAACTAATGTTTCTTTTTTTCTGTTTTTGCCGCTACATCAGGAATAAATGGTAAGTATCGAACTACAATTTCTACTGCCTCAATAGTATAACTACAATTAATTATTTTTTGTATGTAAAATTTTGGTTGAAATGAAAAAGCTACTAGCTCACGAGCGGGATTCGAACCCACGACCTCAATACGCCGCTACTCTAACCACTTGAGCTATCCTGACTTCGATCCACTCCCCATCTCAACCTACAACCTTTCGAATTTTCCCTTCTTTTTGCCATTTTTCAAATGTCGTGTAATCAGGATTCTATTCTCGAAATTCGAAAGGTTGTAGGTTGAGCTGGGGAGTTGGTGTCCGAGTGGATCGAAGTCACGATTGCTAAGTGGTTGGAACAGCGGCATATTGAGCCGAAGGTCGTGTGTTCGAGTCCCGTTCGTGACACTACCTTTTTCATTTCATCCAATACCTTACATGCAAAGAATAATTAATTGAAAGAAGTAAAGTAAAAAGTCAATCGACACTAAATCTAATGGATTTAATAAGTAAAACTAAGTATAACTTCAATAACAGCTCCCCGTGGCGATTGCATATGTAGCCGAGAATCGAATCCTGATTACACGACATTTGAAAAATGGCAAAGAGGAAGGAAAGTTCGAACGGTTGTAGGTTGAGAGGGAGAGTTGGTGTCCGAGAGGATCGAAGTCACGATAGCTCAAGTAGGTAGAGCAGCGGCGTATTGAGGTCGTGGGTTCGAATCCCGCTCGTGACAGTACCTTTTTCATTACAACCAAAGCCTCTCGTTTGTACCTCAGGTTGTTGAATACAGAATAGAAACAAAACATACAATACACATTATACATCACTACAAATATAGATGTCTGGTCACGTTCACTCCCCCAGAGTACTCGATATTCCTCGAGGCGGGTTATAAACAACCCCTTCTTTTCATGCTAATAAATTACATTTATTACAATAAATTAACACAAACACAACACTCAATAGAAACATAAAAGTCTGGTCACATTCACTCCCACAGGGTACTCGATATTTCTCGGGGCGGGGTTATGAGCAACCCCTTCCTTTCACGCTAATAAATTACTTTTAGTCTCAAGGCGTCATACACTCACCCCAGAGTACTCGATATTCCTCGGAGCGGGTTATAAGCAACCCCTTCTTTTCATGCTAATAAATTACATTCATTGCAATAAATTAGCACAAACACAACACTCGATAGAAACATAAAAGTCTGGTCACATTCACTCCCACAGAGTACTCGCGACTTCTCGGGGCGGGGTTATAAGCAACTCTTTCCTTTCACGCTAATAAATAACATTCATTACAGTAAATTAACACCAACACAACAGTCAGTAGAAACACAGAAGTCTGGTCACATTCACTCCCCAGAATACTCGATATTCCTCGGGGGCTCCGAAATAAAATTTTATTTTACGTACCTATCGAAGAAAAAACTTATGACACTATTGGTAATTAAATTCGAATTTAGTCTACCTCTCGCCATCAAGCCTGTTTTTTTACAAATTTTATTGATACTTCAACTCACGTCTGCAAGACTTCGAGAAGGAAGCCAGGGGATGTATTAAAATCCTATAAATACGCGCTGGTTTACTTTTTAACTTGCATCTGCTGGCTAGGAATGCAATTGCACTGATGCCCTCCAAACAACTGTAACCAATTTTGTACGAGTCGGCCAAGTTGAACGATCTGTTGGTGAAAGATTAAATTTAGCCCTGATCATCACGGTCCGTCTTTTTCGCTGTATTGATCTGGGCCGGGGGTTTTTATTTTCGACCCAAAAATGTTGGTAAGCTTTTTTTTATCAATATATTAATATATTTAATATTTTTTTATTAATATATTTTGTTCTACGAGGTGATCTTCGATAATCCCGATCCGCACCGACTCGCTGGTTTTGTCTGTCCGGCGCGTTTTGGCATATCTCCTGGGGTTTATCTCTTTTTTCTTGTATTCTTTTATTGCATTTATAATTTATTTATTGTTCCTTCAGGAAAATAGATTTAGATGTCATTTTAAGCAAGAACCCAAAAAACAAGTCTAACAGGGAACAAGAAGTTAAATTTTTTAATGGGAAAAAGAAACATTGTAGAAGGTACGTCTTGTATCTTGAATCTGGAAGGGGGAAGCTTTAATTAACCTAAAATTAATTAGATGGGTTCTCAACAACTAATCAAAGACTCTCGAACGATCCATGTTACGGTTTGTTTTTCTCACTGAACTCTTTCGGCCACTTTCTTTATAAACACGGGACATTTTTCAAGAAGGAAGCAGCTAGGTTTTCACTTCCGAAGCCAGCGTCTGTTAGTCATATTCGTTCTTGTTCATTGTTCTGAGAAAAGGTCATTTGATTGATTGTTGATCACTATAATACGTCCACCTCCGAACGTTGGCGAAAAATCAGTAGCATAATCCTCGGATTTTCAAACTTTTCACATTGAAGGAGGGTAGTCCTTCTGTATACATTATCTCCACTTCTGGCCGAAGCGAATATGACAAAGAAAATGTTCCCACGAAATGGATCAGTGGAGGTGAAATACTTCGTGCACACGCATAATATAATTTGCAAGAGATCTCTTTCTATCTAGGTCAGTCTGGTTTGCAGAAAAATATTTTTGTGTCAATCGTTCAGTCACAAGTAGGAAAATGCGTTTAAATATTAACTATCAAGAACGTTCAAGACAAAAGTAACCTATGGAATACTAATCTGCTAGACCAAAGCTCAACAAAAACAAGCTTCCCAAACATTAGGAAGGAGCACTGAAAATAACCCCCTCAATTGCCCTAGAAACTCTGCTAAACCTACCTCTATTGGAAACATTTATACAAGGAAAAGGTAGAAAACACTCATTTAGGCTCCAGAAACAATCAAACTGGATGGAAACTAAACATTGGACTTCAAAGGAGAAGAAGAATTCAGGAGGACATCAGCTACAATGATATGATTCACATATGGCTCCAAAACGAATGAAGCAACTAGACCAGGTGTTTTCTGTACAAGCCCAAAACAGCTATCAACATCATTTGGGAAGTACACCTCAGTCTTTCAAGGTGAAATACATGACATCAATTCTTGTGCCTTGTCAAAACTTAAAAGAGGTTGCAATGGCGAAAAGGTCCAGTGAATGCATCTAAAATCTCCAGAACCGAACGAATAGGCAATAATATAGGCCCCAAACTTATGCTTGGGATAACTAAAACAAACACAGACTCCTCCATCACAGAATGGATCCAAAAAAAACACAAAAGGAGAAGTGGATAAACTACGAGCGCTAGACACAATAAGCTTATACTAAACAAACCCTCACAAAGACTGGCAACGTCACTGCTACTGTAAGCGAAGTGACTTTGCCAGTTAACCAGTCACTGGCATCTGACAAAAGGTCTACCCAACATGGGCGTATTCAATGATGACCCCATTTGTAGGTTACGGAATGAGGAGGAAGAAAGAGCCACCTATGCCATCTTCAAATGCGAAACAACTGCTCAATGGATACGGAGAAAATCCAGGAAAGGAATTGCAGCAAAGACAGTCAATGACCTAGTACTTCTTAAGAGAACGATAGTCAATCTTACTGAGAAGATCGAGAAGGATCAACTCGTTTGACTTAACTAAAATCTAGGAAAGTACAATAAGCCCGAAGTCTGCGGTGCTAACCCCCACTTCCTAGTATCCATCATCAGTATTACTGAGAAACTCTGACATAAACCTAGACATTGCAAAGGTAGGCACTTAGCCTAGTACTCCATAAAAGAAGGATCGAATTGACAGACTGAACTAAAGAACTAGGAAAGTACAGTAATCCAGAGGTCTGCAGTGCTTGGGGAACAAAAACTCTCTGATGTATTCCAGCACCATCACGTTTGTCGCAGTTGTACAGTTCCGACATGCGTGTATATCGGGGCGTGTCTCTCGCAATCCTCAGAAACTTGTCCCGTACAACCTGCAGCCAGGCGACATTAGTCCTGCGTATGAAACTCCAGGCACGCATATAGAAGCATCGACCTAACCATCACCTTGTACAGAAGAAGTTTCTTGGCGACAGACAGGACAGGTAGGTTATGGTTACGGTGACAGAGCAGAGAGAAAGTACGCCGTTAGAAGCTTTGTTGTTTACTTTATCATTGTTACACCAAAATGGATCTTTCTATAAAGCAAAGGTCTACGCTTGGTGAAAACTATTGCCTCTGTTTTATTGCGATTAATTTTTATTAATTTTCCAACGGTTGCCGCAACGAAATGCAGCGCATTGTTTCTCTAAACTGTACGATATTGTATGTATCCACCAAGAAGAGGAGTAGAGAGCGATTTGTACATTCTTAGGGCGAGGTATTTTGTTGAAATATACAAGGAACAGGATTAGTCCAAAGATCTAGCCTTGAGGAACACCATCAACACTGTCTGGGTTGGGAAAGTTATGATCGAACGGAAACTCAAAATTGTCTGGATAAGAGGTAGGAGTGGATTATTTTTATTATGTATGGAGGAAAGCTACATCCCATGAGCCTGCTGGCTATATCATTATGTCAAGCAGTGTCAAAGGCCTTTCGGATATCTATCAAAATCATGCCAGTATGATTTCTTACATTAATAGCGTTACATCATCTACTATTCTGGCTAATTGGTCGGTGGTAGCCCTGGCCTGAAACCGAATATCTTGTTAACAGAGTTAAGATGGCTAATAGACTGCCAATAGGATTGGATGAGAACTTGCTAGGTTTCAAAATGAAGATAACTTTAGAGGTTTTCCAGTGATACGAATAGGGTAACCTCTGCCTGTACAAACTTTCTTGTTCGACAGCTCTTCTCATTTTCCCTTATCCGATAATCCTCCGTACGATCATCCTCTTTGAAAGCAATAATGGCCCAGTGATACTATCTGAAGGTGTGTTTCATGATTGGTCTAGTTTAGTTAATTGAGGACGATTCGAATAAAAGTGTCACGGCGATTTAAAAATGGATCTGACCGACTCAATTGAATCGATATAAGGCAAACACGATACGGGAAAAGATTACCCCCCTGTAAATAAGTTATTATAGAGGATCGACAATGAGCGAGCACGCAGTCCGTTTCGGCCTTCTTTCGAGCATGTCTCCATTTGGGTACTCGCTCCCTTTTCCACCATAGATACCTTATTAGAATTGTTTTCAAAACTGTCAAATACAACTCAATTTAACTAAGATTTGTTTTCTTATCGTTTTGGTTTTGTTTTCTGTTTAGCTTGGCAGTCAAGACAAATACGGAGAACTGCAACAAAAAGACGGAGACAACTGCGGAAAGCCTTTTGAACTGTGATGGAGAACCTCCGTAAGTTTTGATACTTTATTTTTAAATTTTCTTAATAACAATTTTATTCGTTGTGTTTTATCCTGTAACAAGTTAGGTGCTGGATACAAAATTTTCAATCAAATCGACCAGCACCTAGTTGCATTTCCGTTTGAAAGCAACTGGTCTGGTCATAGCAATTTTAAAGCTTAAAATAACGCATTTGATAATAATAAACGTCTTTATCGATAACTTTACATTTTACAAATTATTTTAATAATTAAAGACAATATTCCATGGTCTATGACCATCTGGGGAGTTGCTTTCTTTAAAATCATAATAATATATTACATTTTTAATTGCAGCAAAATACAACAATAAATTTTCTTCATATTGTACTTTGGAAAAAAATACTTGTCTTAGACCATACTTGCTTTTGTTTTATAGCTAACTATCATTCATGTCTGCCTATCCTCGCTGTTCACAGACATCACCCTTACACTGAAGATGACGAAATGCCGAAACGCGTGTGAAACCAACAAAAATCAGCGAGGATAGGCAGACCAGACTACTAGGTTTCTATGAAACAATAGGTTTATAGTCCAGCAGACCACAGGAAAAATTTCACAATAATTTTCATATCTAAATCACACCATCGTTGATATTAAGTCTTAAAAGTAAATTAAACTTAAAAACTTAAAATTAAAAATTAAATTACGTATTTTCCTTATGATTTATATATGTCAAATCAGGATTGAAAAATTTTACAAACTTCAAAGAGTTATCTTTTAATACATTTTCTTCATATTGTACTTTGGAAATGAATACTTGTGGTATACAATAATTGCCATTGTTTGATAGTTACCTATCATTCCTGTCTGCCTATCCTCGCTGGTCACAGACATCACCCTTACACTGAAGATGGCGAAATGCCGAAACGCGTCTGAAACCAACAAAAATCAGCGAGGATAGGCAGACCAGAATGCTAGCTTACTATAAAACAATAGGTGTATAGTCCAGCAGACCACAGGAAAAATTTCACAATAATTTTCATATCTAAACCACATCATCATTGATATTAAGAGTCTTTTCCTTATGATTTATTTCCGTCAAATCATGATTGGGAAATTTTACAAACTTCAAGGAGTTATTTTTTATTTGATTATTTTTAATAGCATAACTATCCCCCCCCCACTTGCTCTACCCAACACAGAGTGATTTTTTCCTGGTGTCCATACCAATTCATGATAAGGAAAAATAATTTGGTTTATCCAAATAATTGGCATCATAAAAAGGCATCAAATAGTAAGAAAACATCGGCAGACGGTTTTTATCCATGCCGTTATTTTATGTTGTTTTTTTGTTTCTTTCTAGTAAGAAAACATCAAACGGGTTTAGAAGATCACAAAAATTTTACTTACGTTTAACCTCTGTTATCTTATAGGCAACAATATGAACGATTTTGGGCCCATTAATTGTATTACATACTTGATTGTTACATGCTTGTTTTTATCGTCGATAGAACGAAAAAAGTCCTCAATTGAACTTGATCCTGTGTTGTAGGTTTTGCTTGGTTGTTCTGCAGCGCTTTTCCTTTTTTGACATGGCCATCATCCTCGCAGATTCCATTATTCTTATCCACCGCGCCCATGCAGTTGACTATTTCCGAATTGTTGTTGACAGTTCCTCGTTAGTACTCCTGTCAGTTAATGTGGAGGCCACTCTACGACAATTTATAATGTATTTGGCAAACAAATATTTCATATTTGTCCCAGTTTAGCTTGTTCTTTCCTCGTTTCTTGTCGTCTTGAGTCACAAATAAACCGCTTCCTTTAAGTTTGGGCGGATTTCATAGGATCGTCTGTTTTTTATCGAATGACACTACATGCTTACTTTTCACTATATTTTAAATCCTAGCCTTCTTACGAAACAGAATTCATCACGTTTTACTTCAACACAGATGACATTATTTGCAAATTCCAGTAACGTAGTCTAGTCATCATAATCAGCCTTTTCTCGATCCGTTTGATTTTTGTCAATACATAATGACATGTACATAAATTTAAAGCTATTATTATTTTCGAAGTTATAACAAAATCGCAACTATTAAATCGTGTAGTTGACGACCAGGCGTTACATCAAAGGTGTAAGCCATCAACATCCAAATGTTAAATGTACGCAAAAATTAAAACGAAGCTTTTTAGAATCGTCTAAAAATGTTATCAACCAATATTATAAAAGGTTGTAATAATATCAGACAAATATGAGATATACAGGGTTTTTTCAAAAACTGCTCACCCTTGGAAAAAAGTAAACTTTTTTTTAAAGTAATTTCTGCTCCAAACAGTTATAAATTAATTTTTATTTTGTTGCTCTATTTAGTATAACACAAATTCATAAATAATTATTTAAAGGGGCGTTGGTGGTTGGTGACCACGACGTAAAGCGGTGACACGGCGCTCATCACTGTAAGGTAAAGGTCCCGGGTTCGAATCCAGCGGCCCTACTAACAATTAGGTTTTATATCCAGAGGGTTGATATAACGCTATATAACTAACCCTCATAAAACAAAATTAAAATTTAATAAAAATGTAGTTAAAGGAGGAGTAACGGTTTTTCAGGACCAAAATGCATTTTGTATTTTTTATATATATTGAACATCTCTTTTCACATAAAGAAACCGATCCGATGATATTCCGAGGTTTAGAAATGCTTTAATTAATTTTCTGACAGTTGCAAAACAAGCTCTTGCCTCGATGAACTCGCAACCCTCCAATTCTGTGTTGGAAACAACCCTCCAGACTAAAACAATCGTCTATCGACTCCCCAACCGCAAGAGGAATCTGTCTGTAACTTTTTTATGAAGTAAATTGAGCAAATGGAAAAATTCAAATCAGAAAAACACCCTTTTCCTGTGAAGTTGGGTTTTTTCACCTTTCACTTCACTTTTATATTAAGCCCTTGGTCATATTGAACCGATTATTTTTTATAGAACAATCGTTAGTAAACAATTATAACAAAACATTATTTCATCAAAACACCCATGAGGGGAGAAAAATTGTAGGTAAAAAGTGTACAATTTTATCACAAATTTAGATTCATGCCAAGTTTGGCGGATCACTATTATTTTTCCATCTTTTTTTTTGTAATTTACCGACAAACCCGTAGTATACTGAAGTGGGATCTTGGTTGTAATAGACCAAATAGTTTTTGAGAAAATGTTGACGAAAATTGGCCTCTTTTTGAACAAGGAAACGATCTTGAAAAAATGCTAAATACTGTGAAAGTTTGGAGTCGGAAAAGAGAGCAAAAAGTGCAAACTTTTCTGAAAAGAAAACGCGTATCAAAATTGAAAGCCAATGTGAAGGGGTTGAGATAACAAAATAATTTGAGTATAAAAATCATCTGTCCGAAGGTAAATTTTATTTGGTGGCAGAAGAAAAAAAATCAAAAAATTAACTATATCAACAAAAACAGATCACAGTTTTTGGACTCCTTTTAACATGCAGTAGCCTGATCTTTATAGAAATCCATCCTTCTTTGATCGTTGAACAGTTTGAGATCACTGCAAGGTGAAGGTCCCGGGTTCGACTCCAGCGGCCCTGCATTGGGGGGGCTCAAATGGGCTTTTTTTCAAAACACCGGTACCCTGAGGGTTGTTGATACCTCTGCTGTTGCGAACCCTCTATAAAAAAATAGTTTGAGAGGATCTGTTTAGTTGAGTCCAACCCTCTGTCACACGTGTTGTTTCCCCCCAAGTTTGTTATGGTCGTATTTTCATAAATTTGTTTAAATATCCCCAAAGAAAATTTTTTAGTGAGCTTAAGTCAGTTTTTCTTTTTTTTAACGAGGGTATTTCAACTGCGGGATTATTTGATGTGGTGTTTTTGAAAAAAAGCGCATTTGTAAGCATGTCGGGTTCGAATGCAGGGCCGCTGGATTCGAACCCGGGAATTTTACCCTAGAGTGATAATTCATTTCTAGGTTGTGCAGTAAACCAGGGGTACATACTTATAACTCGACACCCTGCAAATTGGTTTCAAATTGACTTATATAAATTGATTTTTGGAGTTTACAACGTTTCTCCTTTATGTGACTTTTATAGGAAACAATTCAAACAAAAGTAGTAATAACAAAGAAAGCAATAATCAATTTTTATCCATATCCTCCACTGTACTTCGAAACGTTCCTCATAAGGCCATAGTATATTTTACCGCAACATCAAATATCATCCTACAACCCACTTATGTTAGAATAAATAGTCATTCTCATTCGTAAAGTTGACATACCTTCTGACCGCATAACCGCCTACATACCCAGACCATCAGTGTTCTTCCTGCGATGTTTAAAAATCATGAAAAGACTCCTTTTAAAACGTTTAATGCCGATCCTGGATTTACGTAAAATCGTTCCACCATCCAGCAAGGTTTCAGAGTTGGCATCATATCCTTCGTCTAAAGAACAAGAAATGTTGCTTGGTTGACTAAAGGAAATGTGGCACAGATTTTTGATGGGGTCTGGCACCCAGGATCTATAAACTTAAACGATTCCTACCCACTCCTTACTACCTTAGTCTGGAATTCTATTTAACACGGAATGCTGCTTCAGTGTGAGGTGCAGCAGCGAGTACTCAAATATCAGGCCAATATAATCCGGCGTCCCACAAGGGACCATTGTTTCTCCCATCTTTTATACCATTTACACTACTGACTTCCAACACCATTACTACTGACTTACAACACGAGTGCTATCTACGATAGCTGAAATCGATAGATGGTAGCTGAAAGTCGATAATTTGGTACCTGAAGGTCGAGTGAATGTCACGTTATCCACATTTTTTCGAATTTTTCCATTTTTCACTAATGTACATTTACATTGAAAAACCAGTCTTGCTCTCCATTGTACATCAACAACAAAGAGGTACCGATTTCGACTGATCTACTTAGAACTATAAGTAGACCGCAGATTGAAGTGGAATCCCCACTGAAGACTTTTAAAACTGAAATCTGTTCTGAACGTCAAAAGTCACCCTATACAAGACA